GGGACGGGTTATATGGTGGGACGGGTTTGGGTCGATATTAATACGGGACGGTATACTACGGGTGAAATCCTAGGATTAACAATCAAATACAGTTATATAATCTTAAACACTAAATAAAATAAATAATATTAACAAAAAAATACAACTTAAAATTTAAAAATTATTGTTATAAAAAATCGACCCGAAGTATCGCGGGGTAATATATATAATATATACATATGTAAGTATATTTAACCAAACAAAACAATAGGTTATATCTATAGATAATTTTCAAACTTTTGTTTAAAGTATAGCCCCGCGGTGTACCGCGGGTTAAAATCTAGTTATTGTATTAAAATGATATTGTTTTAGTATGTTTTACGTTTTGTGCCATCGCCAACAATTGTTTCTCAAATTAAATTCTATTTTCTAACAAGACACTTATAAATTAGAATTTGAATAGTATGAAAATAAATAAATAAAATATTTATATATTTTAGTTTGATCAAATAAATAAATAAAATTAGAAAATTAAAATATCAGAAATATTAATGTAGCTTAGTTACCATAATTAATAATATACACCAAACCAAATTTTAGAAGTATCGGGATATATCACATAGGGACGGGACATGAACGGGAAATTCAAATTATTAATATACAAAAAATTAATTCTCTATAATTCAGAAAATATCGGATATGGGACAAGAACGGGTATTTAGAAAATGAAAAATACTATCCAAACTATTCTCGATAAAATCCGGGACGAGAATTATGGGTAACGGGACGGAAACCGAAATTCCAGGTAGCTAAATTCAATTCTCAAACTCTCACTAAAATTAAATACACAAACGAAAAGTACATGAAATACGGGTTTTTCATCAGAATGTCATATCTATTTCCTTATCTGTTGGACTAAAATATACAATCCTAAACGGATAGTTTTTTTTTTAACGGTTATGAGATAGAAAGGTCCTGACATATATGGGACGAGACATGTTTTCTATCTCGAAATGGACATACCACCTTTCTCTCATTATCTCTATTTTAATGTATTTGTCTCTTAGGGCTTGACTGGTTTAAACGCAGCGGTTGCGGTTGCGGTTGCGGAAGTTTGCGGAAGCGGGCGGTTGCGGTTTCAAGCGTTACCAAGCGTTTTGAACGACTGGTTTAGCATTTGAAAATGGATGCGTTTGCGGAAGGTTTATGACTGGTAAACCAGCGGGTGCGGTAGCAGTTAAATAAAAAATGACTAAAAAAATAAAAAATATTACAAAAAAAAGAAATAAAAACACCAAGATATTATTATGATAATATTAGAAAAATTGAACATGCTTAATAATTAAAACCATAAATAAAGTACTAAATAATTATTCAAAAATAAAGAAATTTTATAATAAGATAGTATTTTATGCTGGGTTAACACCAAAAATTGTATCAAGTAATGGGACAAACTGTAAATAACGTTGAATTCAATCAAAAAGCAAGTAACTTTCTATTCGAGAAAACAAATCGAAACATATATTCTATCAAAAAGAAAAACAATATATATAATGAAAAGAAAAAAATATTCAAATTGATTTTCATCAGTTTGGATGGAAGACATTGAGAAAATAAGGTTGTAGAATATTGATTAGGGTTTCTGATGAGAACGTGATACAAAGATGAAAGATATATATAAGATTATATATTTTATAATAATTATAAGTAAACGTTTGATTTTTTTTTTTTTTAAATCCAACCGCTACCGCCCGCAACCGCAAACGCTTGCGGGACGGAGCTTTTGAAATTCAGCGATTTCGAGCGGTTTGAAGCGGTACAGAGCGGTTTCTATGATTGGTACCAACCGCTAACAACCGCAACCGACCGCTAGCAACCGCTAGGAAGGTGCTAGCGGGAGAACCAATCAAGCCCTTACTCATAACAAAACAAATCTGATTACTTTTTTTATCTAAACCAAATTGAAACCAAATAAGTCTATTAACATATTTCCGCACGAACGTGCGGGTCCGAATCTAGTTTTCATTATCATGAAAGAATGACATAAGTGAAAATTACATACGTCGACAAAAAACAATTTAATCCATGTAAGCATATTGCTAAAAGGTAAACAAAACTCTAAATTAAAGAGAACATAAATAAAATAAAAAATTTACAATCCAAAACAAAAACAAAACAAAAAATAATTTTATACCCAAATTAAACAGAAACAACTTACCAAACTCACTCCCCAAATAAATAAATAAATAAACAAAACTAACTACAAAAAAAAACACATAAACGAGTCTATAATGTAGCTAACAAAACATTTATAGTGAAACCATGTATCTTTCAAACTGATTGAATCTAGACTTCTGTTTCGGAAAAAAAAAAAAGATGCATAATACTTATGAAACTCAATCCCAAAGATTTTCCAGAAAAGGCGCTGTCAAATTCCACAACCAATTGACGCCTCGTTAGAAGCCATGAACTGACCATATCTCGATCATGTCTTGATTATAGAGACAAAGAGCTAAACAAACCTCAAACCGAAAAACATTATACTCGGAGAAGAATAACACAAGACCGAACCAGAGAAATCATAATAAAGCCCATCAAGGAGAGAAGAGCAGATTCAGAAACCACTAGAACAATTGAGAGCTCACGAGACCAAAACATTACTTCGGGCTAACAACAAGATCAGAGGAAATGAGACAAATCGGACCCTAAAATTGGAACACACGGTACAACTGCACGAGTAAAAGAGTTTGGTCTAGTTTGGGTTTTGACAAGAAGGGCCAAAAATTAGTATACGTGGAAAGGGTTTGCCGCAATTCCAAGAGCCTTGAAGGAGCTGCAAGTGAGGTCTTTTGTTTGTTTGTTTGTTTGTTTGTATCTCTAGGACGGAGTATAGCGTTGGAATTCATCGGAGCTCAAACTTTCTTATTTTGCTTAATGACTTTAATTTGGTCTAATCATTGTGTGAAATTTTAAGTTCTGTTTCTTGAGTCTGTGGAAGTTGTTTAAGCTAATGTAGTTATCCAATATTGGATAAGACTAAGTTATCATTAATGATCATGAATAAGACTAAGTTTTTTAAGGTAAATAAAGTTATGTAATAACAAGTTTTCTCTGTTCCTGATTCTGTTTAACTGCGAATGTGATTGATTTTGTCTACTCAGGTTTTATAAAATTTTAACCATAAATACTCATTACCACATATGCACGGTATGTAATCATAGTAATGTCATAACCCACTAAATTATGACGAAACCATTTGGACCTGAAATGGTATGAGATTTACGGTTTACTACTAGCTAGAACTTCTAATTATACGTTAGCGTAGATGTAAAATAAGGGCAAAACACTGAGTAAATTAAAGCAATTAAAAAAAAAAAATGAAAGCAATTAAACTAGTATGTGAATTGAAAACTAAACTAAACAAAGTGCTAAAATGAGCAAACTGTGAACAATCAAGATGTTAGAAATCATGCAATTTACATATTTTCGAGGTAATGAAACTCTAATAATTAGGCTAATTCATGATTAGTGTGGTAAAAGCCTCTAACTTAACCAATTCAAAATCAGTGTTTGGTATATCATCACAAAGATTAAGAAACAATGCACACAAATTCAAGTTACAAAGTATCCTAAATATCACTTGCTAGATGGCTAGGTCAGAAATCGTTTTCTTTCAATTTTCTTTGGGTTTGAATGTAAACATAACTCAAGCACCTTTCTTGATCTTAGAGCATGCACATAGCTGGTACTCATAGAGTATTTTTTAGTATTAATTTTAATGTTTGTTTATTTTTTGAGATTTTTTATGATACTGGTAGTAAATTTGTTTCTAGTGGTGAGACCAGTATTGGTATCATTAATAAAAAAAAATTATTTGCAAAATCGAAAATAAATATATAAAAACATAAGATTACAAAAGGTAATATTACAATCCATAAAAACGTAGAATATACTTAACAAAAAAATACGTAAAATTCAATAAAAACATTAAAAACATGATGATAAATGTGGATGTAGGATTCACACTCGATTGTCTTTAAGTATTTCAGTGGAGAAAAACTCTTGTAAAATCAGCAAAAATGAATATAAGAATTCGAAAGGGAAAATAACCAAGAAAAGAAGTAAAGAAATTTGACAAGAACGAAGTACAAAATGCCTTGCGAAAGTAATAAAGAAAGAAAGTATATTGTATTGCTTAGAAGTAATCAGTCAAAAGATTCCTCCTCCAAACACATGCGTTTGAAGTTGTTTTTATAGAGAAAACATGATCAATTCGGTCATTTACTGCTCATAATCGCATTGATCTGCATTAATCATGTACGTTACAATTTGACCGAAACGGCTTGAATTTGAACTATTTTGGGCTTCGCGTGGATCTTCCGAACTCTTTCTTGCTGACTCCGAACTCCCGCGTCTTGACGCTACCGCGAGCCTCGAACAATATTCTCCTCGCTTCGACCTTTCTCTATGCGAACTGTCTGTCGAATAAGAGCGAACTCCATACTGGCAAGGATCGAGCTCTTCTACTGGACCGAACCGAACTCCCGACTGGTTAAGCTCGATTCTTATAATAAAATATCTTTTCCAAGAGGATTATTATGTAATAATGACGTGGACAGATCCAAGTGGATCCTACCGAAGATGTGTGGGATCCGACCCCAACATTTAGCCCCCCAAGTCTTGCGAGCTGAGTGCTCGGCTTGGAAGACTTAAGTAAACAGTAATTAACGAATCGAGATCTTTAATACTCTGGAATTATTCCATGTTTTACGCTATTACGCCGATCTCAGATAATCAAGTGATTTGATATCCCTGACAACCGTCATCATTAATTTCTTAATTTTATATTAATACTGCGGGAAAAATTATCCCACTTCCCAATATTCTCGAGGCGGTCTTCCATCGTACTTTAGGGTTCTAAGAGGTAATATTACTTTTCCTTCTTATCTTCTTTACCTAGAAAACTTTTATTCCCATTACAGAAGTCGTTGTTTTCTTTCGGTAAAAATCCCTTCTGTAAAATGTCGAACCTCCCTTCTGAATTCCGCGAATATGAGGCTGATGATCTCGAAGCTCTCATGGGTGAGGGAACCGAACCTCAAACCCAAACAGGAGGCGAGTTTGATCTTCACCCCCAGAGTCAATCGTCCATCGATTCTCTCAATGATCTCCGTCGCTTATGCCACATTCCCCCCGAAGTGGAGATGGTGGTACCGGAGCCTTACGAGTCTCCAGAATCGGGGCGAGAGGGGTATTGTTGCGCCTATGAAATTTATTTCAAAGGGTGCGGATTGTTCCTTCCCCTTCCCGAGATTCTTCTTACCTACCTCAACCATCTGGGAATTGCCTTCTCTCAGATGTCGCCCAACATGCTCCAGTATCTTATGTGTACCTTCACAGTTGCGGCGGAGGCGGGCTACTCGCTGGGACTTAGCGAGCTTTTGGAATTATTCCAGGCTCGTGAATCCCGATCTTCTGGGTATTATGCCCTTTATCCGATCGCAGATCGGAACCTTATTGACGGCCTGCCTTTAAAAGACAACGCCTGGAAGAAGTTTTGGTTTTTCTTCCGTATAAATAGTTTTTCCGTTCAGGGTTCTTCCGAACTCCTCCGAACTCACTGGTCATCGAATTTGGGTAGAAACTAGGACTTAAATAAATAAGTTTTTCAGGTTACTTTAAACTGTGTTAGCGCTTTTCTCGTTTTTCCGCAGGTTCCCAAATTAGGCCAGTTTCCTCTGTTGACTTCTTCAATTTTTGCAAGGCTGTCATCGAGAGGCCAGTTAGTTGGAATTCTTTTTCTTTGGAGAGAATTTACGGTGCCGGACATTCCGTCAGAATGGGCCTTACTCATCCGTCGATCCTCCTCCTGCTGAAATTTATCTCTCGAGTTTAAACGCCCGAGATAGGAGAAGGATCAGAGAAGCGGACAAGAAGGTCAAAGATCAGATCTCTCAGATTGGGAAAAACAAGAAAAACGCATCCTCCGCCGGGGACGAAAAAGTCTACCGGAAAACTCTCCTAGTTGATGACGGGTCCCTCGAAGGTTCAAAATCAATGGCGGTCACCATAAACAATGCCCCTTCCTCATCCCCAGCAGCAGACATCATGGTTGCTGTCACTGCTGAAGAAGGAGGTCCCTTAGATGGCTCCTCTTTTACGAAGAAGAAGAAGGCTGAGGATCCTGAACCCCCGCTTCAGGGAAGGTCCAAGAGCACGAGGAAAGCCGAAGCTATTTCTTCAAGTCTTCCAGTTCCTGAATCTGCTGACATTCAGGGTAGGAATCCTGATTTAGGAGTTGTCCTGAGAGAGCCACTGAGTTCAGGGATGCTACCCCCCAGGCGTCCTCGAGGTAATACCTCTAGAGCTCGATCATCTCCGAGCTCAGGACTAGTTGCCAGAGCTTCATCTCCATCAGGTAATCCTCAATTAATCTCTTGATACTGGAGATTTAGCTGATTTTTTAAGGAATTCTATACTCATACGAATATTTTTCACTTAGATAAAGAGAAGATTGGAAACATCTAAAGATGTTTCCATACTCGCTCTGTTTCCATACTCGCTCTGGGAAGAAACTTCCGTCTTTCGGGCACTGGAGGGATGACATCAAGAAGATGTATATAAGTCATTGATTCCACTCCTCTCAGGTTTGATTATTTGAATCTGTAAACCTTTGATTTTGAATCTCCTTTTTCTTATCGCATCTCTTTTTATCAGGCAACCCTGGATGTGAACAGCATCATCAACCATTACGAGGAGGAGTTTACCAAAGTTTCCAAGAGAGCTACTATTGCCGAAGGAGAGATTGAGAAACTCCAAATTTCCAACCAGCTTGCGAAGGAGACGGCTGGTCTTGACTCAGCTCGTCAGAAAGAAATCGAGCAACTCGAAAAATCTGGCGAGGAGACAAGGAAGATTTTGGCCGAGACAGAGCAAAAGCTGAAAACTGCCCTTGCTGATCATAACTTCGCGAAGGGCGAGATTGAGCTTCTGAAATCAGAGCTTAGCAAGGTCAAGACAGCTGCTGAGGAGCTTGAACGCAAAAATGAATCTCTTTCCTAACTGAAAGATCAGGATGTTCGCAAGATATCTCATGATGCTCGGAAAGAGGTTAAAGGAGTTGGGCAAAAGTTCCTTCTTGCCGTGCAGAAATTTATTTCTGCAGATAAAGCTTGGAACAATCATAACTCCGAACGTGATGAGCTGAAGAGCAATCTCGATCTAATCAAGGAGATAGGGGAAGGATCAATTAATTTGGCCGAAGAAAAAGAGACAGTTGGCACTGAGCTCGCTGAGACTGAAGCTAAGCTAGCTACCGTTCCTCAGCCATATCTAGATTTACAGCAATTTGCCTCTGAGTTCGCTGATTCCCCTCCATTGACCGAACCTAATACCGGTTTGTCTTTGGATGAAATGATGTTAACTGGTTCCCCTAGTGCTCATTTTAATGATTTCAGAACCAATGTTGACAAAATTTCTTCGGAACGAACTCAGGAGTTCTCTAGTCAGGATCCTGCTAGCTCGCTTATCCCTGAGGTTGTTCTCACAGCTCAAGATGCTCCCGTCGGAGGTGCTCCTGTCTTAAGCCAAGTAGGAGATGGAGGCGGTTCGCCTATGAATGAATGATGGTGATTGTACTCACCTTTTTATGGGGAATGTCCCTTTTATTTTAAGACATAAAACTTGCTTTGTCGGCCATGGGGCCGTTTGTTACTTTTTGAGTTTTTTGCCCAAGGGGGCTTTTAGTACTGTTTTGAATAATTTGCCCAAGGGGGTTTTTAATCAAAATTTCTTTAGAAAGAAATATTTATTTTTGGTAGAAACCATCGATTTTACCTGGAGGGTTTGCAAAGTCCTCCTAACCGACATGCTTTAGAATTATAGGAGAGATAGGTTGATCAGACCCACTTACCTTTTTTAAAGAAAAAACATTATAATTTTTTCTCGGTCTCTCGGTTGCGAGGTTAGAGCTCGGCTTACAAGAACACTTCGTGATACTTCGAAATGTGTTCGATTAGAAAAATCTTAGTGAGAACTGTTTGTTTTTCTCGAAGAGGACAAAAAAGGTTTGATACCATTTATTAACTGTCCTTGAATTTCACGTTCGAAATTCAGTTCGCCTACTAGGTGTTAAGTGATACTTGAATAACCTATGTTTTGTAGGTATTGTTTGTACATGTACACGAAAATCGAAAGGTCATAACTGTCAGATCAATAGATTGACGTTTAACTTCCTTTTTCAATAAATACTCAAGTGAGTAACCTTACATATTTTTTCTATATAAGGAGAGTAAGATTTTGGGAATTTCCCAATAAACCTTTTCTTTTTAGTTGTTTTTGATGGCTTCTCCCCAAGACGAACCTTCTGATCCTAATCCACCACGATTCACTTCAAGCGAATCTCTTTTCCCAACGGGGGATGGATTCATTCCACAAGGGGTGGCAATTCCTTTGTTTTCTTTCTTCCATGTCTAAGGAAGAACAGATCGAGTGCCATGAATTCATGGAGCAGGTTTGAACCCAGTACCATGGTTTCAAGGTTTTACTTGATAGATTCGTAATGTATCTGTTCTTTGCAGATCACGGAAATGTACGTTTCCCTCTGCTCCGAAAGGCAACGCCTCGGAATGAAACATCGTAACCTCGAGGATCGGATTGCTAGAACGGAAAGGAAGATCAGACGTTTGGAGTCGGATGTTCACAACTAGGAGAGGAGGGGATTTGATTCTATCGCCCGCATTCCCGGCTGTCTTCGAGAACACATCAGGTTCCTGAAGCATTGGGATATCTACCAAAGGAGCCTCGAATCCGACGAACGCGAAAACGGTTCGTCATCAGACGAAGTTCCTTCTGCGAACCCTCCTCCTTCTTAATTAACTTTTTTTAATTTTGTAACATACTATTGGACTGGTGGCCCATCAATATTAATTATATTTCCCTTTTTGCCTTAAATTTGCCGATTTACTCAAATCTTATTTAATGCGCTATATCTAGGGAATATAATTAGTGATTAACCCGATTACATTTTCCACGAAGATAATAATTTCAGATTTTGGGAAATCGTCAATTAATCCTCTTAAATGTGATTGAGTATATTTCGAATATAAAGTAAGTGTCGCTCATTATTGAATTTAATCAACAATAATTCTAAAAAAATGTTCGAGGAAGGTAGTTCTTCAGAGAATCCCTCCGATTCGTTTAAAAAGATAAGCGGTGGTCTTCCGGAAACGTCAGACATCGAGCTTGTAAAAACAGAAGCAAATGGCGAACCAGAAGAGTCTCGCCCATTAGGGTGGGGAACCAGCATTCAGGTTCCAAATGTGTTAATCGGGAGATTATCGGCTCAAGATCGTGTCAAGGCTAAAGAGTTTATTAACAAGGTATTGTTCAACCTAGTAACCTGACTCCTTTCGTTGTTTGTTAAACGAAGCGTTTTGTTTTCTCAGCTTATTACTCGGCATAAAGAGCTCGAAGATGAGAAAAGAGAGATTAGAAGAAAAAGAATGGAACTAGAGAAGCGTCGCCTCGATATTGCTCGCGAGCTTCATCGCCTCGAAGCCCATCCCTCTGATTGGATCGAGATAGGCCTACAAGAGTACGGAAACATGCCAGGTTGTACTCTGAGCATCGTTGACCTCGCAGGCCAAGGAGCAGAGCTATTCCGTAATCCAAGACCCTTCTAGATCTGGTTTTTCCTTTAGCTAAAAATATTTCTTCTTACATTGTTCGCAACGTATTTTTATATTTATGCTCGAATATCAAACTTATAAAAACAAGATCCCATGATTGGAATTATATTTTTATTTTTATGATTATAGCTGGACTCGTGTTTAGCGAGCTGCCTACATACCCAAAATAGGATCAAACCAAATCGTAGTTCAATATGTTTGCTTTAGCAATAGAACTTTTTCAAGTTGATGATGTTCCAAGGCCTTTGAACGGGATTTCCGTCAAGGTCTATTAAACGGTATACACCATTTCGGATTTTTCTGTGATTTGATAAGGGCCTTCCCAGTTAATACCGAGTTTTTCAGCTCCTTCTTCTTTTTTGTTATCGAACACTCGCCTTAAAACAAAGTCTCCTACATTTAAAGGTCTGTTTTTTCAACTTTGAATTATAGTATCGAGCGGTCAACTGTTGATAGTTCTGAAGTCGAATAAGGGATTGGTCTCGCCTTTCATCGATTGTATCGAGAACGTCTTCTAATGATTTAGAGTTTAGTTCTTCGTTAAGTGGAGCTTCGCTCCGGCGTAAACCGGCAACATTCAACTCGGCCAGGACTACTACTTCCATCCCATAAACTAATGAGAAGGGAGTTTCTCCCGTTGCTCGTCTCAAGGTTGTTCGATATGCCCATAACACAGGTTGCAGCTCATCATACCAACCACCTTTTCGAGCATTCAGACGTTTCTTAAGATTGCTGAGAATAGTTTTATTGGAAGCTTCCGCTTGCCCATTCCCTTGAGGATACCTCGGCGTTGAATAGCTAAGTTTTATCCCCCAAGAGGAACAAAAATCTTCAAATTCATTTGAAATGAACTGTGGACCATTGTCCGTTACTATTTTGTAAGGAACTCCATGGCGATAAATAATGTGTTTCCACAAGAATGTCTTTACCACATAATCTTGTATATTTACGTAAGCTTCAGCTTCGATCCATTTGGAAAAATAGTCCGTTAAAACTAATAAGTATTGGACGCCTCGCGTTGAGCGATGCATCGGGCCAACTATATCCATTGACCATCTCATGAAAGGGTATGGAGCGGATATAGATAATAGAAATTCAGATGGCTGGTGAATAAGAGGAGCGTGCATTTGACACTTTTTACACCTTTTGGCATAATCGATGCAATCAGAAATCATAGTTGGCCAGAAATATCCTAGTCGTTTGATTTTGAAAGCCATTGCTCGTCCCGAAGAATGACTATCGTAAAGCCCTTCGTGGACCTCGCTTGTCACTATTTCAACTTCGGGCCCGAAAATACATAATAGATAAGGATCACTGACGCCTCGCTTGTACAATGACTCTTTAATTATACAATACTTAGCGCTGATGATTCTTAATTTGCGAGCTTGTCATTTATTTGATGGTAGTTCTCCATTAAGAATGAAATTTTTGATGGGTACACTCCAGTCAGCCTCCCAATCATTAGCGGAGGTATTATCCTTGAGTATAAACTTCCTTGGTTCTGACTCGGAAGGAATATCAGGATCATTTACCAGAACTTCTTCATTATTTGTGATATCCGGAAGTGACTGTTCAGCTCGAGATGGTTCTTTAATGGGAACCTCTTGATCTTTTATTTTTCTTCTCGGCTTTCTTTTAGGAAGTTCTGTTTGTGGAGTAAGCTCGACATCTTGAGACTTTGCTCGATATCTAGTGACAACAAGCGAACTGTTCTTGCTATCGATATTTAATTCTGGAGTTTCGATATGCTCGACCTCCAAAACATTATCTTCATCCGAAATACTTCGTGAAGTAATACATTCAACTGGAATCACTCGCTTAAGTTCGGGATCTGAGGTAGAAACTTGGGCAGCGAAAGCGTCTGCCGAAGTGTTCTCGCCTCGAGGTATTCGAACTAATTCGAATTCTTTGAATCTTCCAGCTAACTTTTTGACGGCTGAAAGGTAGGCTTCCATTCGAGGTGCCTTAGCTTCGTAATCTCCAGCGAACTGGTTTACAACTAGCTGAGAATCACAGTAAGCTATTATTTTTTCTGCTATTGCAAGACCAAGCCGAAGTCCTGCTAAGGGAGCTTCGTATTCCGCCTCGTTGTTCGAGGCCGGGAACATTAATCGAAATGATTGTTCGATTATTTCTTTTGTCGGAGTTTCAAGCCAAATACCGATTCCGGATCCCTGTTTAGAAAAAGAGCCATCTACATGTAATTTCCATGTAGAATCTGTTTCGATAAAGGTTCCATAATCTAACGGCAGTTCGGTTAGAAAATCAGCCAGAACTTGTGCTTTTGCACTAGTTCGACTTTTATATTCTATATCGTACTCACTGAGTTCGATAGCCCATTTCGCAAATCTACCGGACTGACTTGGTCTGTGAAGAATTGAGCGAAGTGGATGAGAAGTTAAGACTTTTATCGGATGAGATTGGAAATATGGTGTGAGTTTCCTAGCGGATACGACCACTGCTAAAGCTAATTTTTCCATCATTGTATATCTCGTTTCCGGACTGGTAAGAGATTTACTTTTGTAAAAAATCAGCTTTTGATCACCTCGATCCTCTCGAACTAAGACCCCACTTACGGAATGATTAGAAACCGAGATGTAAAGATAAAATTTCTCATCTGACTCGGGTTTTGAGAGAACCGGTGGTGTTGTTAAATAAGTTTTGAGTTGATCAAAAGTTGCTTCGCATTGATCATCCCACCGAAATTTCTTATTTCCTTTTAAAATTTGATAAGAAGGGAGACATTTATCGGTGGATTTCGAGATGAAACGATTCAACGCAGCAATTCTGCCCGTCAATCGCTAGACCTATTTAATGTTTTTTGGTGAAGGCATTGTGAGGAAAGCGTTAATCTGATTGGGATTTGATTCTATTCCTCTTTCCGTGACTATATAACCTAGGAATTCTCCGGAAGGAACACCAAAAGAACATTTAGCT